AAGTGTCACATCAGCTGAGAGCCAGGCGAAACCGAGCCCACTGAGTGAAACACAAACCATTTTAGGGTTATTACAGCAAGTGGTTTGAGAGCCTGCTGTGGGAAGGCAGCAGTGCTGGCTGAATGCAAAGACTGGGCCCGGGAGCAGCAGCAGGCTCCATAAATAAGCTCCTATCACCCTGGCCATGATAAGCCTTGTGATCCTTGTTTGGTACATATCCCACCTCCTTTTGAAAAATCACACGAGGCTGGAACCTGGCACACCAGCCTCCATCCTGCCCTGGGAGTTGTGTAAACCTCAGCTCTGCTCATACTCCTCCATTCAACCATAAAAAGGGCAGAAGGAAAAAGAAACCAAAACAACAATGAAGGCTTTGCCAGAAGATTTCAGCCGCTATCTCCTTTTGCCATGGACAGCCCAGAGTGGTATCAGCTGATAGGATTTCTAGTTTCCATTTTGAAGTGACAGCCCATGTTGGTATCAACAGCTGGAGAGAGATGTAGTTTTAATGAGGTTTTAAAGGTTTACAAGTCTCACGATGAATTTAACAGATGTACAGGCAAAATTCCTGCTTTATGAACAGCTCTAGCATCTTCTCCCACCTCCCTTCCCACAGAGCAGTGTTACAAACAAAGCCTTCCTACAACAGAGCATCTTTATTCAGGCCAACCTAGTAATCTTTCTCTAAAAGGGATTAAATAACTAATAACTTTGAAAAGGCCAAAATTTAATATTACTTCAAAGTTTATTAAAATATGATCTTTTATTAGGAAAAAGAAAAAGGACAATTTGAATGTAACCCATTTTCCTCATTTTCAAAGAAGCTGAAATGGAAGACAAAAACATGGAGCTTTGGAAAGTGAAATCATTGAAGTAAATTATTTTTTTCACTTTTTGGATCTCCCCAGGGAAAAAATCCAACAAATAGCTAAGATGAAATAGTGAGGGCTTGTCTAAGCAGGAAAGCTTTATCTGCTAGATATGTAGCTGTAACTCTGTAAGTCCCTGAGTTCTTTTAGTACAACCTTTTCCAACTCAGTTTTATCAGTTTCCAGTCATAAATTGAGCTTAAAAGAGGAAAAGAAAACCATAATTTGGGAGAGAAAAAAAATAAGCTTGTAGCAAAACAAGAGTGTTCACATGGGTAGTTGAAACAAAATTTAACCTTGGTATAAAATCATCTCTTGACTTTCATGTTTAAAACTTTCCCACGCAGACAATCTCTCAGAGGAAACATGAGGGTTTGGGAGGGAAGTGAGGTGGGAAGTGAAAATACTTTCCCACTGCTAAGCAGAATGAGAAATAGAAGCAAGTAAAGACAAGGTTTAAGAAGCAGCTTTCCTTCAGATGTTGTTCCCTTGTCCTTTCCACTCTTCCTCCCATTTGTTTTAAAATAAGAGAAAAAGAAAGAAAACCTGAGGCAGCCACTTAAAGATAAAACACTAGCATGATTAAAATTAATAAAATTGGGGGTGGGAAGGGGGTGCATTATTATTTTGAAGAAAAGGCATGAAAAGAAACTCAGCGCTTTTTCTGACACTTATCCCAGATACCAAAAGCTTGACTTTATAATTAATTCACATTTGGCAACACAGGAGTGCCATGGTTGTGACATGCAGGTTGTAACATACAGGCTCCTTTCTCCCACCATATTAATTTCTGTCTTTCCCAACACCCAGTTTCCAAGATTCTGCCTACCAGAAATAGGCAACGTGTTAATTACAACAGTCCAAGCTAAAACATCTCCCACATTTTGCATGAAACTCAGTGCACCAACAGCCAATTTGCAGGCATATCTCCACAGGTTTCTAGGCAACTCCAACACAGAAGGCTTTTCCTGGAATTTAATGGAAGTCAAAGGTAGAAAACTCACACTGGATAATTCAGCAGAACATGTGCTACTACCAGGCTTCCTATTATGTCCACACAAACCATTCTGAAACTGCCTGGCAAGTTACCAACGTATGGATTCCAGGACTGCCAGCACTGCCAGCTTCAGGCATTGCAAAAGTAATGAATCAGGCCACCAAAATACTGTTCTGAAATCACCTTCTGCTTGCTGAGTTTGCTGGGGCTACTGGGAAAATATCTAGACTTACTTTGCAGCAGAGAAGGGGGCTGGAATGTCAAAGACACTTGAAAGGAAGTTAAAATTGCCAAGCAATTACTGGATTCCAGGTGCTGGGGATTTAATAGACACAAAAAACCAACCTAATAAAAAAAAGCATTACCTTGGTGTTACAGGCTGTAAAGCTGAACCATTCTAGGCTATTTGGGATGTTGCAGGAGACCCTAAACCCTGCCAAGAAGGCTTGCTACACATGGACAGAGAAGAATTGGACATTTGTTCCCCATTTGCTCTCAGGAGGAGTGACAAGAGAGTGACTTGGGGCAGCACAGGGTAACAAGACAGTCACAATTTCCATTTTACAAGATCACCCAAAAGGAAAGCAGAATAGTTTATCCTTCAGCTGTGTCCTTTCATGTTTCAGATAAGGCTTAAGAGGTGTTTCTTCCTCCGGTTTCAGAATCGCCTTTGTATAAATGCAGCACACACTTGTAGGAAAAAGTGTCTAAAGCTAGAAATGAAGCAAAATAAGCAAGTTACTTTTGTCTTTACAAGTACTTAGAGGTGCCCCAAAAAAATCCTGTTTGATTCAGTTGCCCACCTTTATCTCTGCACCCTGGGCATGAAATCACATGAGAATGAAGTTATTCCATAAAACTTCTGGTATTTCTTGGTTCTGTGTGGGAAAGATTAGCTACATTTGTTCCCAAATTTCCCTGCATTTAGTCAGTTGTGACAGTTTCAGAGAATCATAAAATGGCCTGGGGGTTGGAAGGGACCTTGAAGTTCACCCAGTTCTAAACCCCTGCCATGGGCAGGGACACCTTCCCCTATCCCAGCTTGCTCAGAGCCACATCCAGCCTGGCCTTGGGCACTAACAGAGATCCAGGGGCAGCCACAGCTGCTCTGGACAACCTGTGCCAGGGGCTCAGCACCCTCACAGGGGACAATTTCTTTCTCATAGCCAATCTAAACCCACCCTCTTGCAGCTTGAAGCCATTCCCCCAGTCCTGTTATTACATGCTCCTCTATGAAGTCTCTCTCCCACTCTCTCATTTTTGTTTTTATCAAAAGGCATTTACCCAACAGACTGCCACATGCCTCTGATGCAATTTAGCAAGAACAATTCATTATTAGCTCAGTAATTATACAACAGTGAGGATTACAGGGAGACTTCAGAGAAATTTTAAAAATCTGATTATTTTAAACCCTTTCACATTCATGTGAGATTTCAGTAAGTTTATACCCAGAACATCACAACAGCAAGCAGTGTGAAAATATTCAGCCTCACCCAACACTACAGAGTAAATACACAATGTCTGCTGCTGTCAAAGCAAATGGACAAATATTACTAAGGAGGGACAGGACCCAAACAGGTGAAATGCTCACTGACATTCCCTCGCCTGAAGCAAAGGTGTGTCTATAGGCTTTGGAACCCTGAGCTGGGCAGATGTTGTCCTTCCAGAGGTGGTTTGGACTACTGTCAGCTCACAGCAACAAAGGGATCTCAGAGTATTCCCATCATTTCAGAGCACGCTGATGATTCATGCATGGTTACAAGGCAATATTTACTCAGCTCTCAGGAGGCAAATTCATGCTGTCAAGCACCCATTCCCTTGCATAAGATTGATATTCCCTACATAAAAGTCCTCATCTCCAACTTGAACTTCTGCCCCACCACTTATTCCCTCTTATTTAATAAGGGGTGAATGAGGACTTGTCATTGTTTTCATGGATTGCAGGAGAAAGGAAGGCGGGAGACGCTGACAGTGAAAAATGGAGAGGTGAATGTAGCAACTTGTTTCTCAGCACAGCTGAGCATAATCAAAGAAGCACTAACTTTTGATTTATTCAGAGCCAATCATGGCTGCAAGGGAAACAGACTTGCTGGATAAAGATTCATCTCTGGCCAAAAGCAGACAATGACATCAAGCACTGTACACCCATCAGTAGGGCAAGTGGGTTTCTGTTTTTTTCCAGAGTATAGAACACATTGCAGGCTCTAGCAAACCATTGTCTTTTGGCAAATATCACACAATTTCTGTCTTTATGTAAAATTTGCGTCACCACTTCTTGCTCCATCCAAAGCATGATCCACTCATGGCTAAAATGGAAGGGACCTGTGCAATGGAGCACATCAGAAAGATTGGCAACTACTGCAAACACATCCACAAACACAAGGAAGAAAATACTTGTTAAAAACCAGCAGAGAACAACCTGATTCCTTGATAAACAGCCACTGAATTTGTAGGGCCAAAGCAAAGCAGGATGTGGTTTTCAAGCCATCCTGCTGTCAGAGCTGTACCAAGAAAGGAGCACTTCCTGCCCCATCTTGCTGCTGCAGTCATCTGGCTCCAAAACATCATCCATGCTTTCTCAGTTCTATCATTTGGGATATTAAATGTTATTTTCTTCATATATGCTTTTAAATAAAGCTGTCCTAAGCAGGACAGACCAAGCATATTGTATGTCATGAGCAGCAATATTGCATGCTGCTCATCTAAAAGCTGGAAGCCACTCGCAGGTGTATGAGAGCCCTTATTTCTGCTTTTATCCTCACTTGAAAAAGCAGCATCAAACATAATGAATCTAATTCCAGCCCCTGATGCTACAGAGGAAAGGACAGTGAGTCTCAGCCTGCCTTTGTCCCCGTGATCAGTGCTGTTTGCCATACTCGCCTTTCCTTTTGGTACCACTACACCACAAAATCCCAGCAGGTCAGGTTACTGCGCTGCTCACCTGCCGCTGCCCTATGCCATATGTTGGAGGCTCCCCTGATGAGACCCTGGTGTAGCATTTCACCTCTCAGTGGGCTTTTATCACAACAAAAACAGAGATGGGAACAACAGTGGCAGCTGAAGGCAGCCAGGTTCTGCTTGCCTGGGAGATGGAGCTGGCTGCTCTGAGGATCACCTGCCCATGGGTTTGGGTTTTCTCTTTTCCCTACAGCTCCAGTAGCGACACCCGGCTGCCAGCGGTGCTGGAGGAGGATGGAAGATGCCTGCAGGGCCCCAGGGCACACCCAGCACAGCCCTCCTGTGCTCCCAGGGCTGAGGGTCTTGCCCCTGCTCCCTCTTCTCTTTGCACTGCTGTCTGCCTGTGTGAGCTCCCCTGCCGAGGTTGCCAAGGGATTGAATAACAGATGGGAAGAAACAAAGAGCCTGCAAGGAATAATCCCAGATGCAACTGTCCTCATGGGAAAAATATTCTATTATCCAGTGCCAGCGTTTGCCTTTCATGGAATGATAACTCGGTACAAGGTAATGCTATTCAATACATTTCCTGGTGCAATCCTACAGCAAAGTCATTCATTTTATGTTTGAAATGAACTCACTAAAAATCTCCTTCTAGAAAATGCCTCAGATGTATTAGAAACAGGTAGAACTGATGGTAAAAATCTCACAATAAATCACTGCCAATGCAGCAGTTCCCTACTAAGCAAATAAACAACCTACATACACCTGTGTTTTATCTACCAGTAGTCTACAGAATGCAGGGTCTTGGAAATGGACAAAAAGTGTTGCCACTATGCTAAAAAATATGCAAAACAAGCATTACCTGAAAAGCCAAAGCTCTGTAGTTTCTAAGATTTTCAAACTGATCAGTTGGGGCTGTTTCTGAACTTTTGTCCAGCTAGAGCTGACAGTATGTAAAACTGAAGTAGTAGCACCATTTCCTATCACTAATTCTGTTTCTCTGCCATCCTCTTATGGAGAAGGTCTCTTTAGCCAGTGGTGTAGATTTGCCAAAGTGGTTGGAATTCAACCCTGAAGCAAACACCCTGCAAGGGCTGCCTATGGCAGGGGAGGGAGGAGTGTACCTGCTCAACCTTGCTGCCTCTGGAGGGCTGCCTGCCCAGGAAACACTGAGGGCTGCTGGAAATTTCCCCATCCACGTGCAGGACAGCAGTTTATCCTTGGAAATGCAGAACTTGAAGCACATGCCAAACAGCTACCAGTGAGTACTGCTGGTCTCCATGGCTTCTGCTCTAATCAGTGAGCGGAGGGAAAAACAAATTTTAAGGAAAAGAGATGGGTGCTCCCTAATTGACACAGGGTGGGTTTTTTCCTGCTGTGGAAATGAGACATCAAGGAACCAAAACCAAAACAAAACCCCACAAAATATTGCACAAGCACATGTTGAATATAAAAGCAGGAGGCTTTGTTGTCCCAGAGCAACAGTGAATGACACAGGTATGAAGGCTGCAAGCCCAGCAGCAGAGAGACACCGATTCTCCATTGTGCAGGTGACATCCAGCTGCCCTGCTCCAGTTCCTAACTCTTCTGTGAGCAGGGAGAGAGGCAGGCTCCCAGTGAGGCTCCAAATTTCTTCCACAAGACACTGTTTGTTATCACTGATTGTACTTTCCTAGTGTAAGTACCTATACTTGATGTGTAACAGACTGGGAATATCTCTGAAGTTAATTACTTCCATAATGAGGACAGTGTTTGGAAATTCAGCCCATGGTACTGTGTTCTGCACAAGCAGTAGGAACAAACTTAGCAATCAGTGAAGTCAGTGGGATGGGAAACATTCATATATTCAAGGAGAAGGAAGTTTTGGATTAAGAGGTAACATTTTGAGCAATGATTGACTAAATTCAAATAGTGATCTCTACAAATAGGGAGGGGTAAGAAGAACTACTCTTAACCACTAATTGTGGACTTTCAATATCAGGTGTGGGAAGGAAGCTCCCATCACTTGTGCAGAAATCATTCTCTCTGCTGGAGCAGCAGCCCTGGAAGCTCAGGAGCGCCTGTCCGTGGTGTGCAGGAGGGCTGAGTACCTGCACCTGGGCAGCTCCCTGCTGACCCTGCTGCAGCACACAGGCCCAGCAGCCAGGGGCTCCCACGTCCTGGCTGAGGACACCAGGCACATCCACCTCGCCACCAACAACTACGTGGGGCTCTCCTGGCCCGTCACGTGTGGAGGCTTTGCCCTGCTCCACGAATTCATCCAGGTCCTGCAGCACAACATGGACTCACATCACCTCTCACGGCTGCTAGGGTATGAAATTGCAGGCTGGAGAATACTCAGGAGAGGGGAATATGAAGGGAAGTCTCCAAGACTACACCGCAGGCAATTAATGATCACCCCAACACCTGCAGTAAAACCAACTAGAATTACCCAGAGACCAGCTGCAGGAGAGCCTTCCAGGCCTTTGTTCTTCCCTGTGCCAAGCCAGTTATTCACACCACTTGTGCTATCACTCAGAGCTACTCAGAGCTTATCAACTTTCTGTGCAGAAAGTATAACCATGGCAAGTTACAAGATGCAGAATATCCACCTTGGAAGTCAAGAAAGCTTGGTCACCTTAGAAATGGACTCAGCACAGGGCATGCCAACTAACCCCACAGTATCCATGATGTTTGCAGACTCTCATTTCCCAGATCTTTCACCTTCGCTGATGACTGAAACGAGGCTTCTCTTCTCTGAACTGGACGTGCTGCCTGCTAGAGTTTCTGGTACATCCTTGCTGTTAGAGCAGCCAGAGCCCCACATGCCTGAGGTAGAATCCTATTTCCTTTCCAGTAAATCAGAGATATCCACATACCATCTCACTTCAGGCACAGAGCAGCTTTCCAGGTCATGGGTGATAAACATGCTTCGCGAGTGGCCTCACAGCTCAGCAGTGGCATTTTCTCCCAAGACAGAATTACACCCATTTTTGCCAGGAGCAATGTCAGTATCAGAAGTGCCAGATTACAGCAATGAGGTAAAAAGTCACTTTCCAGAGCCTGAAAAGCTTTCTGATGCATCACTCTGTCCAGAAGCACTCCCTTCACTATTCCAAGAAATTTCAGTAAGGGCCACAGCTTTGTTTGGCCCCACATCTCCTATCAAGGACACATTCCCAGCTGTCCTAGCAAGCAGCAGTCTGAGCCAAGTGTTTACTAATGGCTGTTAACCTCAGTCTAAGCCTTCTATGACTATCCCACAGCCCAGTGGCTTTTCATTTGCTGGAGGGAAAAGCACAGCTTCTTCTGTGGCCCAGAGAGAAGCACAGACCCTCTATTCCAAACTGATTTTCAGTGCTGAAGTCTCAGACAGCTTTCCTAACACATTAACCAGCACTGTCCCTGGTAAAGCTGAAGAACCTCATGAGCCAAGTCTGATCACTCTGTCCCACCCTGACACTACTCCAGTTCTTACTGTGCCAGAAGACTTTTCTGCCTTTCACATGTCCAGGTTATCCAGACCGACATTCCCTCCTGCTTACAGCAGCAGCACGCTCAGAACAGAGCCACAGCCCACAAGGATTTTACCCAGTGGCACAGAGGATTTGCTTTCAGACAAACATCTGGGAACAAGTGGGATTTTGACAAGTGTCACTGAGCCTACCTTGGAGTCACACAACATCTCAGATATCAAGCCAGATGCTGTAGGAGCACCTCTGGTGACTTTATTTAATGCCACTTCTCGCCTGCCCAGCAGCATACCAGGTATGTTTAAGGTTTGACATTCCTTTTGTCCTCTTCCCTGCCAGAATAGTTCTGTACAGTTTCTTGTGCAAAAGCACAACTTCCCTGCATTAGGCATGTGCCAGCAGCAGTCTTCCCAGTAAGAGAATGCAATTTATTTTCCTTCACTGGGAGCAGATAACAGCTCAGCTGAATGATCAGGCCCAGCTTTGACCATCCTATCTAAGGAAAGATGAGGACCCTTAAAAAAGCTCCAAAGGGGCACAAGGATGGATGGTCAGAGGTCTAGAAAACATGTCAAATTAAAATAATTAGTCTAGAAGACTTAGAAAATACATGGGTTTGTATAATATTTTGCTTAAAAGATGAAAGATGCATTCTCAGAATCCCCTGGGAACTAACACAGCACTAATGACCTTCAAGTGCAGTTAAGATGATTTAAGTTAGACATTAGATAAACTTTCTCACAGTAAGGATAATAAAACATTAGAAAAGATGCTTGAAGAACATTATGGAGGGATTTTAAGGACTGAAGAATAAATATTTATCAAAAATGACACAGAAGTACTTGAGTATCCTTTGGAGTAAAGAATTAGGCCAGACACACTTTTTAGTCTGTCTTCTCCTCCAACTGCATGAATCTGTGACTCAGGCTTAAGTGTGTACTAGACAATAGAGATGGTTTGTTTGTAGTGCCAGTTGTGTAAATTTGTGGGATTATGCCTTACATTAACTCTGTAAAAATGTACACATGGTAGATTTTAAACAGTTGCAAAGCACAGAATTCACAGCCTTGTTAATGCCCTTCAGAGCCATCTTATTTGTAAAACTTTATTAGACCTACATTAAGGCTGTACCCAAAGCCTGTACACAGGTGTCCCAGCAAGCATCATTGGGATAGAGCATGTGGGGTTGTGACAGGACAGGGGAAATGGCTTCAAACTGACAGAGAGCAGGTTTAGATTGGATATTAGGAAGACATTCTTCCCTGTGAGGGTGCTGAGGCCTTGGCACAGGGTTCCCAGAGGAGCTGTGGCTGCCCCTGGATCCCTGGAAGTGTCCAAGGCCAGGTTGGATGGGGCTCTGAGCAATCTGGAATAGTGGAAGGTGTCCCTGCCCAAGGCAAGGGATGGAACAGGATGGCCTTTAACGTCCCTTTTAACCCAGGCCATTCTGTGATTCTGTGATCTGTCAAAGCCCACAGATGGACAATATAGCCCTAACACATTACTGTTAATTAGCATTCTTCCAAGCACAGGCCATGTAGAAATATGTTTTTAAAATAATCCTTCTTCTCCAGAGATTGAAGCCACTTCCATTCCCTCCTTTTTTTAAAGGGGAGCTTGAACTCCAGCCTCCTTTCCATGGTCCTTCCTGTGCTGGCAGAAACTGGCAAAGGTCTTCAACCACATGCCATAAAAACTTTTAAACTGTATTCCCAGCCCTGATAAGATTCCTTTTACATAGATGTAAATGGTCTTTCACCTTGAACTGTAATGATCTCACTTTCACAGAGGTGGGTGAGACACTGCTGCCACCACACCTGGATCCAAGCACCCAGCTGTTTCCCTTGTCTGAAAGACTACAGTTTTTAGAAAGTGCATGGATTATTCCTTCATTCTCTGCCTCAACAGAGCTGCAGACTGCAACCCAAGGTAAAAACAAGTTTACTTTTCTGTTCTTGCTTCTGAACACAGGTGCCATCAACCTTTTCATCCATCTCTGGTTTCTATGCAGTCCTCAGACTATCACGGTCGAAATGTTTGTGTCCTGAATTCATCCCACCCTAATATTTACATTAGGTAATAAACAAGGAGAGGATAATATGGCATAATTTTAGTAGTCCTCACTATAACGTGTAGAAAGCACAAGTACACAAGATCCAGAAACGGCAGGAAGAGAAGACCATTTTTGTCACAAGCTGCAGGAACTCCGTGTTGTGATCCTTCATTCCTTGAGCCTGGCAGCACACTTCACCTGACAGTCACAGAGAGGAGATTTCCTTTCAAATTTGTCCCCACACTTTATCATCTTCCAGCTTACCTGGTGTCTGCTCCCAAATTCTTTGGAACTCTTCAAGCAGGCAGACATGATGCACTCACAGCAATCCCATCCCAGGCATCCATACTCTCATTAAATCCCACCCCCCAACCCCCCAAAAAATCCATGATTAATGTTGGAAATAGAAGATGAAAACATGTTGTGGTATTTCTGTGTAAAAGTTACTAGAATTAGATATAATTGTTTGGGAAGGGGCTATACAAGGGGTGACTAATATTTTGGACTCAACAAAACAGTGTTGAGGCTCTTTAAATAAACAGATATCTAAATATACTTAACAAACGAGGTTAAGATGTGATCAAGGACAAGACTTTACTGTTAAAAGTTTCAGTTTCAGCACACTCCACAATTCTGAGACTGACAAGATTTCTTTGCCATCTCTCACCAAGAGATAGCAATTTTTTCCTTCTAATACTTTCCCTCCCTTTTCTCCCTCCTCTCTAAAGGGCAAGCAAACACTTCCCCAAAGGTTGTTCATTCCATTAAATTCCTAACAGCAACCATCGGATGCCTGTTCTTTTTCCCTATACCTGCCAACACTTTTTATGACAAGGAGGATGGCAACTCTACTCAGTTATCCCTATAAATCCTCCCAGCTGACAGCTCTCCGTGGGGATCCGAGAGCTGGCTGCAGTTTAACACCTCCCAGCAGGCCATGCACGGCTATCCCCTAGAGATGGACTGCAGCATTCCCCGCAGGAGTTTGTGCTGTCTGCCACGGATTCCAGCGGTCTGACAGCCTGGCAATCCTTCACCATCGAGCTCCTGAAGCCCCCCCAGCCCCCCTGCCACCTTTTCAGACCAAGAACAGCTACTCCTCTTTCCTGAGGGAGAGGAAAAGGGTGGGTTTGTTCCTGGAGAAGCTCTCCTTCTTCCTGAACTCCAGCAGCCCCAAAGACATGGTGCTGACAGCGCTCCAGCCTGGCTCCACACTCATCTCCTGGTACAACAGCTCGCTGTGTGCAAGCGCCAACACATCTTCCAGCTGGTGTGGGAACGATGAAACCCAGCAGGCGCTGGAGAAACAGAGTGCCAGCTGGGTCTGTGAGCCCCCAGTGAATCCAAGCAATGCTGCCAGAGTACAGAATCGACGTGACCTTCAGCATTTCCTACAGTGAGGACTGCCCAGCCAGCACCAAGCCACTCCCCGGGCCTTGCAGCAGCTTGGGCCGACGCTCCAAGCCAAGAACGACTCCACGGTGAGGAGGGGCCCTCGTGCCCTGCTGGGCAGTGTTTGTGCCACTGCTGGTGTGGTGCTGGCAGTAGTGATCTGCTGGCTTTGCAGGTGTCCCAGGAGGATTCCTGGAGCACAGCCTGTGATGGTTCAGACAAACTCCCAGCTAAGCCACGCTGATGTGGAACTGGATGCCCTGAGACCCCGCAAAGTCCCTGTACACGAGTGCAGGGCTCCACTTTCACCTCCGTTATGGACCCCACCTTCAGGACCACTTCCCTCCCACGGGCAGTGTCCCAGGCAGATCCCTCACACCATACCACCCTTCCAGCCACCAAAATACCAACTCCCTCCCCACTATCCAGCGGCTCCGACCACCCGCCATGGCCAGGGCAACGTCCAGAGGCTTAAGTTCTAAAAACTTTTAAATGGTAATAAGAGCAAATCTACAAAAAGACAAATTGCATTACAAGGTGCTATCCTTAACACCCAGAAAAAAACCAACATAAACAGGCAGTTAGTGATTTTCACCATGTTTCAATTTAGAATAGAACATATTTGACCCACACCTGACAAAGAGGCAGTGGCCAAAGCAGAACCCAAGTGAAGCAGGCAAAGGGATCTCCTGATGAAGGGGTAGAATTACAACCCTGTAAAAGTCAGGCCAAGAAAATACACATCAAGCTGATGCTGGCAGGAATGAGGGGTCACAGTCAATGCTGGGCAAATCTCACTCCATTATGTCTCCCTGACTCATAAATACACATTTTGCACAGAGGAGGTAGAACTGTCACAGAAGGATCACCACAAAACATTATAGTTCCATTGAAATTCAGAGGTGCTACAACCGTGGAGTCTAGGTCATCTTGGAATTTTAAAATTTTTTAAAATGCCTGACACTGTCTCTGTCCTTTCAATCTTTCAAAACTTTTTAAACTGTTTCTATAAATACATCATATGTAGCATTTCTAAAGACAATTGTAGCTACTAAATAGTAGTAGCTACTAAATAGTAGCTACCAAACTCCTCTTGTTAGGTAATTTGGTGCAATGTACCTTTAAAGATACATTTTAAAGTTCCAGGCTTGCCTTCTTTACAGTAGAACTGTCTCTTGTCTGCTTCTACCTGGGACAGTTCTAGCAGAGAACTCCTGAAGTTTAGCAAAAGAATTCGTAAGGACTTTTTAAACATTTTGAAATCCTTCCAGTTTAATAGATTATGACATACAAAATCATAATGCCATAATTTATGAACAGCATTTTGCAATCACATAATTACAGATTAAGCTACTTAATCCAAAACTTCCAATTTTAATCTGGAAACTCTTTTTAGAACTGACAAAACTTTCCCTAAACCTGAAGGCAGTGTGTGAAATAGGAGCAAAGCAGCACCAGTGCCACTATGCAGGGCAGGAGAATATGGAATGCCCATTCCAGAACTGCCAAGATCAGCCCTTGCAGTCTCTTGAGTCTCTGTGAGACTCTTCAAGTACAAGAAAAACAGATCCACAGTCACCAGGCCCTGCTCATTTAATCACCAACCAGTCTGACCTGGCAGATGCTCCAAATGTGGAGAATGGAGTTAGTAAACAAGCTAAACAAATACGTATTTTAATAGCAGGTGCTATCAAATTGCTAATGAACTACTTAATTCCTGTGCATGTTTTCAAGGAGTGCAGCTGAATATTAATGGCACATGAGGAGATGCAGCACACAATTCCCAAGACACAGGATGAGCTTTTCAGCTCTAACTCTCCAGCCTAGCAAATTGCAGAGCTGACATTTACGTGCTCCCCACTTCAACATTCTTCTAGAAACAAGAGAAACATTCAGAGCAATATGCAGTAAAATCTCATTAAAATAACCCAAAAAGTTATGAGAAGAAATAATTTTGGGGCAGTTTTCTCCATCAGAACATCTGAGCTAGGGTATCAAGAGATGTGGTGATGCAGGACATTCTGTTTTCAATGAAGTAGTAAAGATAAAAGCAGTAAGTCTTCACACTAGGATCTCCAAGAGTTAGAGGTTGCTTCTGTAAAAGCGACAAATATTTTACAGTATGATAGAAAATATTACCATGCAAGTACTATTTAATCACTCTGTAAAAATGGTTCTAAAATCATTTAACAGAAAACACACCTGCATCAGAGTGGCTGAATAATCATCTTGAAATGATTCATGGTACTTCAGCAAAGCTGAAAAAAGGATTCAGTCACAAATGTTCAATGAAGAATATTTGTGTTCAGATCTATACATCGCAAACTATGGCATTTAAAGTTGCAGGTGAGTATGAAAATACTGATTTAGTTTTAGAAAATCTCAAAGATGTGTCTCAAACCAACTGTAAGATACCCAGTCTGTGAGCCCTTCAGTTGCTTACAGAAGCCAGATGCAGACCAGAGGAAGGCTGACACATTTGGAGAGCTCAGGAATTCCTGTTTCCTTAGCCCACATGGAAGACAACCCAAAATCTGACAAGGGATAAGATCAGACATTGGCTGAGTTTTCCCAGTTGAGAATTCTACTCCCCAGTGAAAAAGGCTGCACTCAAACTGAAGACAGATCCCCTACTTTTCATTCACAGCCATTCAAATTCAGTCTCAGACACACAACCACAAGTATCCTACAGAACACACTTCATCAAAAATATGATTATTAGCAAAAAATTTTATTGTACTTTTGCTTACAAAGCCTTAACTCCAACTCAACAACCTGAACAGCTTTGCTTTCTAAAGACCATTTCCATTCAATTTCTTAAAAGTCTTTAAAGCAACAATTTTAATCTGTAAAACCCCTCACCCTCCCACCCTCAGATGAAAACCAAGACTGGCACTCCCTCAGGTTGGTGTCTGTACTCAGTGTGTGGTCTCTTCCATAATTCTGAACTCCTGAGGAACTCTCATATAAATAAAAGGTGTTCAGCAACCAAAATTATGTTATCATCTCATTGTAAATTACTTGACTTTTTTTTTTTTTTTAAGACAGTCATCACTGATTTTGAAATAGTATCCAATACTTCTGGGCAAGGACTTTAAGGTGACTAACAGTTTTGATTACTTGATTTACTCCATGGCAGCAAAGGTCTTTATCCTGAAGCACGACTGGAAAACGCTTCAGGACAGCTCCTATTTGCACACAGCTGGTTTAACGTGATATGCAGGTTTCATACTTCATAGCAAAAATAGGACTAGAAAAATGTAAAAACCAATCAAACCACAGCTATACAATTGTACTGAAACAGTACCAAGAGCAACTCCAGCATTAAATATTTTTGCAATTTGGCCAAGTTTTGTCCCAAGAAACAGAACTAATCCTCACTGCCGGCCTGCTTTTCCATTTTCTGTTGTTTCCATTCTGAAAGGCAAGACAACAATTGGTAAGGTTTGTTACTGGAAGAACAACCAACAGTTTAAAAAAAAATCAGATTTAAATGCTTTCATAGAAGTTTTTTACTTCACTAACTGTCCTATCTCTTCCTACCCCAACACAAACTTATGTCCTCTTAATACTTCTTTAAGCAGCAATCAGTACATAAATGAAAAGTTTCTGCAAAGATACATTTCATCTGTGAAAAACCATCCACTATCAACCTCAAGAAAATACAAAATATTCGTGTGACATAAGAATATTCATGTGACTTGAGAATCCATTTTGAAAACTTAAGCTTTGGCCATTTTTTCCAAGGACTTAACTTTTACCCCTCTTACACTGATCATTGTCTACCATCATCTGATTTCCTTCAGGGGAGGCTGGTTTGGTTTTCCAGTATTTTTTGTAGAACATGGACTACTGTAAATTTCATTACTGCACAGCCTAAGATTCAACCACTTTATTCCAACAATATTTCTGTATCAGCCATTCTTTTGGAAGCTAAAGCAAGCAGAAAATCTCAGCTAGTGTTTAACCCCCTGAAGTCTAATGAGAGTTTTGCTGCAGGGGCAGCCCCTGAGGCCCAGGGAAGCCCAGCTCTCAGCAGTCAGTCTCGCTCAGCACAGGTGCAAACAGAAAATCAAACACTGCTGTGGTTCCACATCAGTGCTGAGAAGCAAAGGAATGTACGTAGATATTTTAATCATCAAAGGAGTGTCTAATGCTGTAAACTCCACACTGACTGCTACCAAGATATGGGTAGGGATGCATTTCCTGATACAAACCCATTTTCTTCTTTCAGATGTTGATACAGCTCAGCTTTATTGTTGACAGAGTTCAACCGACCAATAAATTCCTGATGTTTCCTAGAGTTGGCAGTATTAATTCTGTTGCTCCATAAAGACAGCAAGGACATTGGCCCTAAATTTTTAAGTAAGAAGAGTCTAAGTGATGAAAACTTTAAATTAACAGTACATCATTATAACATCTTAAAGGAATTACAGATTATGGCAATACAACATGTTAAAACAACTAATATTAAACAAACTTACAGTAGGAGCTAAATAAATAGAAAATATGCAAAGTGATAATGGCAGAGGAGTTGCTGCACATGAGATAAACTCTGCTTCAAGAGCAGAATCTCAGCATCAGCTCAGTCACTGTGATAGAAAATAATTCAAACCAAGGAAGAGACGTCAGTGAGACCTGTCCATTCTGACAACTGCACTACTTAGGCAAGTTGATTATTTATTAGCAGGAGACAGTGATTTCTGATACCTGCCCTCAAACAGCATTTCTGCCATACAGCAGGTCAAACAGCACCAGCAGGAACTCGGCCAATCCCCTATCAAAGCAAGAGTCAATCAGCAGACCCACAGTGTCTTGGTTTCTCCCTTTTTTCACAGACGTGGTGAGGTTAACATGTTTTCCAAGAATTTCTCAACATTTAGCATGTAATTTAACACAATCTTCACTGACTGAGCTTTAACTCCAAAATGATTCACCTCATTACTTTAGAAAACACAAGACTGATGCAACAACATCTACCTTTCCAAGAAATAACCTGTTGCAATTGTTCTGGTTTACCTTTTGCCTTTTCAACTGTGGGCATTTCATCCATAGTAATGAGAGGCTTTTTGTTGGGGGGCTCAGGAGAATCAGGGGAGTCTTTGATAACTTCAGCTTCTGCCAGTTCTTCTTTCTCCCGATCCAAAAGACCTTTTAACCTTTTTCAGAGGGAAGGAAAAGGGTGAGGAAAAATATGCTTGAGCAAAACATAATTCTTGATAGCTTTCTGTACTCCTCAAAATAATACAGGATCCATACCATAAGAAAATTTCTTTTGACCCCTTGGGAATTCTAACTAAATAATCCTCTGCATAAAGCATTACATATAGGAAAGGTTCTTAATATACAGTTTCACTTTAGTTGTTGAGACAATTGATGTCTGAATTTTGAAGGAAAGACTAAATTAAAATAAATACATAGAGAAATACGATACAATTTCCTATTATCTTTTCTAGGTGAATTCAGGGCCATTCACACCAAATCCCTTTTATCTCAGTCCCCATTTCTGTTCCACATGTGAAAGCAAAGTTGTAGGAATGATAATTCATAAAAAGGCATGGAATGTCATCAGCATGGTGACAGCAGGGTAGATGAAAAGGCCCTCCCATCCTAAATGATTCCAGCATGCACAAAACACATGCAAATTAAGCTTATTAGCATGAACTTTTTGGATATCTGTAGAAAGTAGTTTCAAAGAAGGAATACAGAACAGTCTGACAGGACCTTGCCACTTAGACAAGCTACAATAACAACATGAATTACAGACAGGAGGTAAATGGACATTAATCCTGATACTCAGCTGAAGAGAAGAGCCAAATCAAGCTGGGTTGTTGAAATAAACCTCAGCACTGCGTTATCTACAGCTTAAAAGAAAACAAATGCTTGTCCCACATTTTTAGCCACGCTTTAGATTTCCATAAGGCAGTTTAATATCTAATAGGTGGTGTGGGTATGACAGAATCCAACAGCAGGAACTCCTCAAGCTAGAACACCCAGCTAAATGGTTAACAGCTAAGAACAACAGTTATATTTCACTTTAGAAAATGTACCTCTCTGATTCCTGCCATGGCTTATCTGATTCATAGTCTTTGCCCAACTTCTCTGACTTGTCCTCTTTGTCTTCTCTCTTTCTGCCTCGTTTCTTGCGCTCCTCCTCCTCTGGGGGTTTGCTCCTGCACGCCATGAGACACTCGAGCACTCGCTGGTGTTTGTCAGAGTTGTTGATGTGTGCTCGGACCAGGGTCTCCAGCTCGTTCCACATAATGCGGTACTGCTCATCCCTAAGGGCCAAAAAAACACACCCCATCGAGGATCACCACTGAACTACTGACTGAATCAATGCACACCTTAAGAAACAAAACAGAACCCCCAAGCCACACATAACTCCAAAGAGATTATCTGTCCTCCTGTACTGGAGGTTTCTCCACCTGGGGTTACTCCATGCTTGAAACCACATTAACATTTCCCAGTTAATGCCCAGAGTAAAGTTTAAATTTAAATGGATTATGTCCATCGAAATCATAATGTCCCACAAGATCTCATTGCAAAAATGCACTTGTGAAACCTCTCATGTGCTTGCTAACAATGCAATGTCAGAGGGTCACTCATGTACTGACATGCAAATTAATTACTATATTATTTGGGTTTAAAACAATAAGAAAGAATTGCACCCCACTACTGTCAATAACTCCCAGTCATGTAGGCAAATCAGGAGCTGAACTTCTTTTCAATCAATTCTTAGAAATACAAGGAACACATCTCAGTGATTGAGGAATCGGCATATTCCATGCTTGTTTCAAAGAAGTATCCCATATTTTAAGTAACTGTTCCATAAGGTTTCTAATATATCCCAATTTTAATGCACCATTGATTTGTAATATACTTAGGTTTTCCTTTTGATTAATTTGAAACACTTTATCTGTTTGTAGCAAATATAAATTTGTATAAATTTTTTACCTTTGCTGATAACTATCTTTGATTTAATATTTTTTTAACATATTTAAATTCTTAGATAATAAAACTGTAGAGGTTTTTTCCCTAACATAAAGCAGTATCAGTACTGTTATAGCCTCTAAATGATACAGATGAGGCACTGATAGCATTTAGGATGTGCAATAGTGTTTAATTCACTATGTATTACTTTTAGCTAGAGTTTAAAAATTTGGTATGAAAACATTGTCAACAGAGTATTTCTGAAAATAGTCAAGAATCAACAAAGAGATATGCATGTAACCTTTTTGGACCCTTTCCTCTGGTACCAACTGTTGAAATTGGCAGTGGATCATTCTTCCTTTCCATGTCTACCAAATTGTATATTGTTTTTTGACAATTCAGTACATCCTCATCAGTCATTGTTTCCTTTACAATCACACTGGCTAATGGCACTACCTGCAAGACAGAACAGAAATTAACAAGAAGAAAATGTGTGTGTGTGTCACAGGACAGCAAGAGGAAGAAAAAAAATTAAAGGCAATGAAACAACACACAACCTTATCCTCAGTTTAGCACTAGCTCAAAGTATAAGCAGATGCTTTCTTTATCCAGAGTACTGGAGCTGTCAGGTTCAAATCACTTTATTTAAATAGCATTCCAATAATCTACTGAATTAAATACCCAGTTAGTTCAGGAAAAATAAAACTGAAAATAAACTGATTGTACAGCAAGGGATTTATCATCTCATAGAGTTGATATTTAATCAAGTGACAAGGGGAAACAATCTAGGAACAGAACAAAAATGTACAGAGCCCAGGTTACTTACAGCTTGCATATTGAAGATGGTGGTCTGAGAAATAATCATAGGCCAGTAACGAGTATGTTTCTCTAACTGATCTTTTGCACGTTCCAATGGAATTTCAAGACTTCCATCCATCTTATATCTGGGCTCTAGAAAAGGAGTTAATCGGTTTTCCCTCATAAATTCACCAAAATCCTAATGATAACCAAACAAGATACAATTAGGCATTTCTCTAACAAAGTAACTTTCAGTGAAGGGG